GGGCCGTTGCTCGCCGTGACCTATTTTGCCCCCGAGTCCCCTGGTGGCTCGTTCGCAAGGGCCGCAGCGACGAGGCCGAAGTCGTTGTGCGCCGCCTCCTCTCGGCGCCTGAGGAGGTCATCAACCGCGGGACACGGTGGCCATGATGGCACGCACGATACGCACGGAGAAAGAGATGAGCATCCATGGGTCGTGGGCCGACTGCTTCCGCGGCGACAATTTGCGGCGAACCGAGATCTCCATGATCAGCTGGGGCTGTCAGATACTGCCGGGATTCCGGTGCAGAACTACATTACCTATTTCTTCACGCTGGCCGGGCTGTCGCCAGCCGACTCGTTCTACATGTCGATCGGTAAGTCACGTTTTGCCCCCTCTTCCCTCTTCGAGCAACGATGTCCATCGTGTGCTGTGATCTGGCAAGTGAAACTAACGGCACAGGCAACGCAAGTCTCGCTTTTCCTCGGCACGGTCACATCCTTCTTCCTCATGACGAAACTCGGCTGGCGTACCGTCTACCTCGCCGGTCTCGCCGCCATGCTCCCACTCATGTCCCTCGTCGGCTTTCTCGCGCTGGCACCCGCTAATCCGGCTGTTCGCTGGGCGCAGTCAGCTCTCCTACTCATCTGGTTCCTCGTCTACGGTCTATCCATCGGTCCCATTCCTTATGGCATCGCCGCCGCCGTCGGTGCCACCAATCTGCGGGTCAAGACCATCTCGCTGGGCAGGAACACATACTACATCTTGAACATAGTCAACACTGTCGTGGCTCCCTACTTGCTGAACCCGCAGGAGGCGAATCTGCAGGGCAAAGCGGCGTTCCCGGCGGCAGGCTTGACGCTGATGCTCACGATATGGGCGTGGTTCAGACTGCCTGAGCTGAAGGGGCTGACGGGCGAGACGCTGGACAGTCTGTTCGAGAGAAAGGTTCCGACAAGACAGTTTCTGAGGGCGGCAAAGGAGCTGCAGCACGTGCGGTAGAGTCGCGAGCTTGTATACTACGAGGCGGATAACGTCAGGGAGGTGCTTTGATAAGCCCCACGGCAGATAGGCCACTGCGTTGTACAACCACAGCAAGCTGGTAGAGGCCGCCGTAGCCAGCATGAATGGCTGTGCAAGCACTCTATGCCGAATGCCATTCCCCCCAGGCCAAAGGCAAGGCAGCTAACGAAATGACTATTTCACACTCCCGTCCCTTGTGCACGTTAATTATTACTACCGGTTCAGTGCGAGGCAATGCGTGGCAAGCATTGATGGGGGCACTTTGCCAAGTTTAACTCTTGTCAGCTTTCCAGCCAGCGAATGAGCCTGCGCATGGCTATGCCTATCATTCGCACTCGTGCACATTGACGATTGAGAAACTCGCTCGCATGCTCCCGTCATCCTGATTGAATACTGCGGGGTCGGGGATGCCATGCATGATTGATCATTGTGCGTTCATTCCCTCGAGCCCGGCGGCAGCGGCTCCTTCTATGTCTACTCACGTCTTCAATTTTATTCTTATCCTTGCATTGGATCAACACGCAATTTGACTACGATACGAAGAGCATAACCGTATGCCATAACTGCTCATATAAATCGACATGTCACAATCCGCGTTAGGACTGCAAGTGCTTCGACCAACGTCAGACCGCAGCCCTCTGGTGATCAAGAAGGGGGATGAGGTCAACGTCGAGTAAGAAACATCTTCAGCATGGACTATATCCTAGAACTCTATGGCTTACAAACGTTCGCTTCCCAGTATCGTTTTTGTCCATGGACTGAATGGCGGTTCTCACGCCACGTGGGCCAAGAATGGCTTCTTCTGGCCCAGGGAGCTTTTGCATCAACTACCTGGCGCTAGAATCATGACTTACGGCTTCAACACGGGTTTCAAACGACAGGGCTTGTTTGCCAAGGACCACATTCGTGCGTTCGATATTGCCAGAGATCTTATATACCAGCTCTGCCACCTAAGGCGCGGCCAGGACACTCGCCCTCTGATCATGGTTGCCCACAGCCTTGGGGGGCTCATCGTCAAACAGGTTTGTCTTCAAGCAGCAGTGCCCACTACCTGTCCACTCATCTCATATCACTGTGCAAATAGGCACTAGTCGAGGCTCGCAGATCATCGCAAGCTTCCATCAGGACGGTATTTGACGCCGTTATTTCGGTCATTTTCTTCGGTACACCTCATACCGTTGGTGCACTCATGGGCTTGCAATATCGAGATACTGTCAAAGGTATTGCCAAGTTTGGTGGCTATACTGTGCCCCATGAGATCCAACGCAATCTATCTCTTCATTCAAAGGAGCTCTTCAATTTTAACAGAGCTTTTAATCGGCTACTAGTCCTAGACGCGAAGAAGATCCTTGTTGTCAACTTTCACGAAACAAAGGCCCGCTACGGGCGACTGGTACGCAGAAATTGGAACGAGACCTCACCAATACCCTGACTGACAAGCTGAGACAGATTGTTGATGGCTTGACCGCGTCGCTCGGCGAGCGTAGTCGACCGATCGAGGACGATCACGAGGGTATGGTCAAGTTCGAGGACACCGGTTCGCCCGCCTTCAAGATAACTATGCAGGATATTTGGCGCGCGCTGCAAAACTGGACAGAGTCTAAAAGTAAGCGTATTGAAGACGCGATGAGACAAATCAAATTTGGTATGCGGCTAACAAGAGTCTACTCTCTAGCAATCATTCCAAGGGCTGTCCCGGGAACACCACCAATGCTACAGCAGGCGCGATTCTTCGACGAGATTCGCTATGATCGTAACAGTCTCATAGGAAGATCCACTACGCTGAGATACATGAACTCCTATTTTTCCCCGTTGGCGGAGGGTCATTCAACGCCACTGTACCTCGCTCTCGTCGGTAAGGCTGGGATTGGCAAGACAGCGCTCGCCTCTACATTCTTTCAACGTGCCCGAGACGCGGAAAATAGTTACTTCTGAGCAGCTTTCTGGATTGATGCATCCTCGGCATGGACCGCTAAGGCCGGTTTGACCAGACTCTATGTCGAACTTTCTACAGATATGTGCATTCAGAGGGGTATGCCACCTTCCCACCCGGCCGCCCTTACAGGAAGGGCTCCAGAGAATCTGATTGAATCCTTCAACGAATGGAGAAAACCATTCCTGATTGTGTATGACAATTTTCATGGTGTCTACTCCGATGACTTTGCGAGTTTGATGCCAACCCAGGGGCCGTGTGCGATTATTTTGACCTCGCGGGATACCCTTCGTCTTGGACCTAACACGAGGAACGACGTGCTTTTATTCGAAAGTGACGCTCGTTCTATAGGAAACGACGCCATCTTGATCGACCGCTTGATAACGACTGATGCCTTGGATCTCCTTCTTCAAGTCTCTGGGCACTCTGATGTCGCCTTGTCAGAATCAGAGATGAGCGCCGCGAAAAATCTTCTGCTGCAGCTCGAACGCGTTCCCCGGCTCATTGAGTCAGTGGGAAAGTGTATAGGCCAACTTCAACAACCGGCCCCCTTCTCGGCTTATCTGAACGCATACATGAATCGCGGCAAGGCTATCCAATTCTTTACCGACACCTCAGCCAGCAGGATGCTAGATACCAGCATATCAGACCGACCTGGCGTTAAGTTTGACCCTCAAAGGCTCTTCAAATTCGAATTGTTGGGTGATGACGATACGGAGTCCGACACAGAGACCAGCAGCATCGTGCGCGCTGCTGTCTTCTCTGGTCCTGAGTCTTGTTCAGAGTCAGACTCGTCAGTTGCACCTACAAGAGTTCGCCCCCATCAAATCGTGGAGGTTGCCAATGCTCTTCTTCATCACACTGAGTTGAGGTCCCTCTTCATGAACGCCATATCTAGAGTCGAGACAAAAGAGACATGTCAGTCGTGGGAGAAGTGCCGCATTTGCTGGATAAGTTTCCTGGAAACATTTGCGAGTAACCTGAAAACAGAAGCTGGAGAACATCTGGAGACTGAGGCAGCAACCTTTATCGGACATAATCCAGGTTCTATATCAGACGAAATACGCCGACAAGTTCTTTTGATGCTGTCGTCCTCCCGAAATATAGAGGAAAGCTCCAGAAGCACACTGGAACCGAGAGGATCTTGTCAAGCCAGGAATATAATGAGATACTGGAGTGTGAGATCGACACGGATGGGCTACAGCTGGGGATTTCGGTTGAAACACAGCAAAATTATGACACAACCGAGTCGATGTTCGAGCTAACAAACCAAAGTACCATGGATCTGAAAGGGTTCATTGTGTCCGCTGAGGCCTGCCAAGCTCTGCTCGACGATTTGCGGCTTTGGTTGGAACGGAATGAAAAACAGCCTGAGAGACCGACTTTGAGCCAAGCCTTCAATGTCAACAGTGAATCTTCCTTCAACGGCAGGAACGATGACGCCAATGATGAGACAGAAACCACCGAAGATCAAGAGCTATTTGCTGGCTCGCGGGTTTTGTTCATCATTAATCAGTTGCAGCTCGTGACGGCCTCCCGAACCTTGTCTATTTGGAAGCCAAAGTGGTCAGTCATGAATCACATGAAAGGTGTGGTCGAAGATTATCTGGGGACACGTTGGATTTGGTGGCCCTTCCGGCAGCGACAACGTGAGCTTGCCGACGGGTATACGCGCTTGCGGTGGCTCTGTGTAATATCTCCCGTCTCTACACAAGCTCGTGCGATGCACTTATCGGACTGCTAACGTTAGAGGTACTTCACAGGGTTGTGAGAGAGAGCGTTTCGCCGACGTCCCTACCAAGCTAGTTCCGTACATCTTCAAGACAGTACGAGGCGAAGGCAGTTCTACCGCAGACAGACAAAGGCTTCAGTCGGTAGCGTCTGGGTCTTCTCAAGTTCCGCTTGTCCCACAAAACAAAACAATGGGCAGCAAGCTTTGGCAGCCTCGAGACCCAAAGAACTCACCAAGTTACAATGACGTGCGAATCTCCCCTCATCGAGAAAAGAGCATAGAGTCTCACATATTCTTGGTTGTGCCGTCAGGTCTTTACGTTGGAGATGGACAGCGTTTAGCCCAGCGAACAATACTAGTAGGGACTTCTGACGATGAGCTCTTCTGTTGGATTCAGGAGCAATACTTTTTGCTTCGGGGGCGGCTCGGCGCATTCATGAGCATTCGCATATACTCGCACTGTGACTTCTACATGGTACGTCAGTTGGGGAATGAAGGCCTGGCCGTTGTGGCTTATGGGCTGACCAAGACCCGTGCAGTTCCACAAATACGACACCGAGATGTACAGTCCTGTCGAGCAACATTCGTTCCCCGGGAACGAACTCCCCTACGACTTTTCGCCCAAGCCTATGCGCCCTGTTCCGCCAATATCAGATGACCAGTTCTACCACCGCTTCTATGCCTGTTATAACCCAACAAGCCTTCACAGGCTATTTCACAAGTGCCGCAAACGCTGTGGCGACAGGGCAGATGTCGGCAGTTTCCCTCTCCGTCGCCATGGTCTTCAGGTTGAGGACACGAAGAAAGAATACTTTTGGGGCATCTACGTTGTCACACGCATCTCATTCTTCAGGGTTGCGGTCTATAGTTCTCTCTGTTGCCTGCCGGGGCTGGTCTTCTTCCTGTGGATGTTTTCCTGGGGTCATTCTGGGGACTTGCAAAACGCCTTCGTCCCGGTTTGTTTTTCACTCGCGATGCTTGCCGTGTTTCTCTCATTTGTTATTGTGGATGCATTTTCTTCCAGGCGGCAGTGTCCCGTCATGAAGGAGAAGACAGTGTAGTTCGGGTATACGTCAAGACCTATCTTATCGGTTGAACAGATAATCAGGGGGTGCATAACAGGAGTCTGTGCATATAGTAATCAACTTGGATTCGAGTTCCAGAATCTCGAGGAAATCGGGTTGTCTCGTCTTCTTAAGCATATACAAGCATCGGGTCGTTGATTTTATCGTCGGATACAAAAAAACTGTACTTAGACAAGTGGACAGCGCGATCATCCCACGAGGCGTTACTGTTGTACTGATGCTGTCACTCCATCGAATTCCCAGGATCTGACTACATCTGAATGTTTTCTGACAGGAGACCGAACCAGGCAGGACGCGTCAGAGTGACGCCTATTGCGTCCTCATCACGCCGAGTTCGTGTCACAGGCCTATCAACTCATCATCCCAACATGCATCTTGAATTCACATGCAAAACGCAAACCCTCTCAACATCAACATCCAAAACCTCCCTCAACGGGAATCAATCCACCATGCTGGTCCGTTGAGAATCAAGAAGCGCAACAAACATCCTAAACCAGTCTTATTCTCCGCCCCAACCTAATCCGTTGAGGCCCCCCTCTTTCCCAAAAAAACACGATTCCACCCCAGACGATCCACGCTCAACCCGAGGCGAAGAGAGACCAGAAGACAATGTGGGGACCCTGATGCTTGCAATTTTGCATGTGATTCCTACAAACAACCCACTCAACGCCCACACACCATTGAGATCAGATCCCGCAGTGGAGCCCCGGGAACAGGGGTCCCGTCCGGCAGGTATGCGTGCGAGCCGGTGCGGCTCTGCTGGGGGTTCTGGGGTTGACGTGGTGGCCGTCGTCTGGTGTTTGGGCTCGATTGGAGTGTGGATGCCGACGTGAGGCCGGGCGGCCGATGTTGGATCATCCGCCGACTACTGCGCGGCGGCTCGGGATGCACATGTGGAAATGCATGCCTCGGACGTCATGTGCGGCTGGGCTTCAAGGCCTATACACAATTCTCAATTCTTCAGGGCCACAGACAATTAGTATGGCGTGCCAAGTTCAAGGCAACATTATTCAAGTAAGTGTTCGATCAATTGCTTCACAGTGGTATACCGTCATTCTCACGATGTCGACGAGTCGAAATGTCATGTACATGTTCTGAAAGTGAATGGCTTGTAATTTGGTGAATCATAATTTACTCGCTTGGCACAGGCAAAGCTGAGCCATCTCATTTTCTAGGATGCCACAAAAAGCATCTTCAAATCTCGTGGTGTAATAATATCAATAAAGCGCCGCCGCCCAATGCCCCAAAATCCAGTAATCAACGCCGGCCAAGTAGTTTCGTGTCGTGGCGCTGGCTCACATGAGATCCATTCTCGTGAGCTGCTCGCCGTTTCGTCTCCGATGAGAGAAATGTCCGTGACAGCGCCGAGCTTACGCCGCATCGGCGCCCTTGGTGGGCTGAGCAACGCGAGTGAGCTGGTCGCCGGCGCGAACAATACGCTGGCCGGATGAGTCGGTGACGTAGGTCATGTCCTTGTTCTCGAACTGGGCACGCTTCCAGATCTCGACCTCGCAGCCGCCACGGAGGACGCCGACGCGCATGGTGGAGAGAAGGTTGTGAGCGGCGTTGGAGTGAAGGTAAACACCGCCGTTGAATATGGCGGTAGCATCCTTGCCGATGGCAGAGTTGATGAGGGCGCGGCCACCGGGATGGTCCTTAATGAAGTCGGTCACGTCGTGGATGACACCAGCGACAGCGATAAGACCCTTGCCCTCCTTGCTCTGGGCAACAAAGTCATCCCAGTCGACAACAGGGAGTTGCTCGAGAGGGATGCCCCAGTCGAGAGTGGCGCGCTTCTGGTCAAGCTTCTTCTGGAGCTGCTGGACACGTCCCTTCTCAATTTCGTTGGCACGGAACTGCTTGAGGTCGGAGGCGAGGCCAAGCTGCTTCCAGGTCCAGATCATCCACTTGGTGGGGTCGTACTGCCACCACTGAATGGCGTTGCGGTAGTCCGAGGGGAACTCGTGGTGGAAGTTGTGGTAGCCCTCACCAAGGGTGAAGAGAGCAGTGATCACATGGTCGCGAGGACTGTTGCGGTCATCGAAGGGCTGATCGCCGATCCAGTGGGCGAGGGAGTTGATGCAGAAAGTAGCCTGCTGAACGAAGAAAATGCGGAGAATGCCGGCGTAGACGTAGCCACCAAGCCAGTCACCCCAGCCGAGACCGCAGACCAGAGTGGGGAAGATGACGCCCATGGTCAGCACACCACTTGAGGAAGTGAATGTGCTGCCACATGACGACGGGGTCCTCGTGAAGATCGGTGATATCGGTACGACCGGTACGCTTGGGATCCTGCTTCATGACCATCCAGCCGAGGTGAGAGTACAGAAGACCCTTGCGGACAGAGTAAAGGATCCTTGACAGTGTCGGTGTAGCGGTGGTGAGCTCGGTGCTCGCGGGACCACCAGCGGATGGAGCCCTCAACGGCACCTGCGCCGACAGCGGCGAGGTAGATCTTCAGGGGCAGAGAAGCCCTTGTAGGATGAGTGAGCCCAAAGGCGATGGTAGCCTAGCAGGACAGGTCAGCAGACTGTTGAATGAGCATTTGCGTCATGTGCGCTCTTACCTGCTGTGATACCGAGACCAGTGTTGAAGTAGTAAACAACAGAGAAGACAGCCGTCTTCCACTGGAGCGGAACCCAGTAAGAGGAGACGAGCCCAATGGCGGGAACGATGAGAATGAAGAAGGTGTTGAGCCAGTTGACGTGAAGCCACCAGTTACCCCAAGTGATGGGCTGGGTGGTGATGTGAGGCTTCTTGGGGTCGGTCCTGGAACTGCGGACGGGGACATAGTCCTTGGTACCGTCATCCCACTTCTCGGCGGGTGCCGAAGGCATCGTTGCAGGTGCCATGGTGAGAGTCACTCCGGATATTTCGAAGACCGTCTCGGGCAATGGTTGGTATGGGTAGTGAAGGTTGGTGATAGAGGGAGGAAGGGAAGCAAATTCCGAACGGGAGGGGCCCGGAAGGAAGGTTATATGAAAAGGCAGTGGGCCGAGGCGTGTGCGGTGGCGGCAATGGAGGTGTAGGGATTAGAGATGTGATGAGCTCTTTGGTACGTACTTTGATACGGCAAAGCAAGGCAACCGCCTGGGTACCTACCTCGAGAAGAAGGGGTGAGGGCCTAGCGATGGTGGTTGAGAGAACATGGCCACCTCGGTGGAGGGGAGCGGGTCCGATGAGCCGACGGGGAATGTACAGGCAGTGAGTGGTTGATCGTCGTGGGCAGGAGTGCAAAAACGGGGTTCGCCACCCGACGACTGACCTCCTCTGGTCGTTGTTGCCCTTGCTTGCGTCCTTCCCTTCCCTTCCTTTCCCCAGAGCCCCAGTCCAGCCCAGATCCCTCCTGTCCAGGGCGAAGGAGGCAGGAGCATTGAGCTACGTGCAAAATTGGTATCGGAAACGGCAGGGCAGACCAGGCACGATGGGCCGTGTGCCCCACATGCAGGGACCCGGTAGTGATCTGGCCAATCAAAAGTGATGCCGCCTCAACTCGTTGGGGTGACGTGCGTAAATCCGTTGAGAGAAGGGAACTTACCCCTAGGTCATCCACCAAGATCGTGGTCACACACCACCAGCGAGGAAGGATGTCTATTTTTTTTTTCTTTGGGGCGGGCTTTCAGGCGGATGGAGTCAGAAGGTGTTGCCATGTTGGAGGCTCATGAGTTTGTCCTCGGCTCAGGGAACGTAGGTTTTTGCTTCTGATGGCCTGTTTGGCTGCTGATTGTGGTCTTGATCAAGCTGTGACATGACGTTGAACTCACTTACACAGACCCGGGGGGGATGAGTCCCCGGTATCCCCAACAAGGTTGGTGGTATCTCTCTGACAGCCGGGGCGCCATCAAGACGGCGCAAACAAGAACAAGGATGCCCGTGAAACTCCACCACCACCACCCAGAATTGGCTGGTTCTCCATTTCACCACAGAAGTGGTCATGACCTAATGAGGCCTAGCGTGTTTGCCGCTCTTACTCAGGTTCGGCTCAGTCCAGGCTCAGTCACGCCCTGGTCGATGCAAGAGTTGTGCGTTTTGTGCACACCTCATCCGGGCAGTGCTCAGAAAATGGTCGTAGAAACGGTTGCCCAGTCTCTAGCCCTGTAGGTCACCGTTGATGATGGCTGAACTCGTCACGTCACCTTACTCGATGGACAAAATCAGCATCCGACCCCGACAACGTCGTAGACTGGTCCCTTTAAGTTTGAGAGGTCTTCTTGGTACGTCTCGTGTCTCCGCAACCTGGAAAAGCTTCCTGATGACAGTCTGCGCAGATCCTCGCGCAGAATACGACAATGTAAACCATGAAGCCATCGTGTAGCTGCTGGGTGTCAAATCTCGGCCATTGGGATGGGATAAGCCGACTCACCATAACACGCCCTTTCATACGCCAGGCTTGATATAATATGCTTAGTGGAGTTGCTGCCTACCTATCTTGGAGTGATGTGCGCGAGGTCCATGACCGCCTTGATACTTTGCTTAGCTGGCCACAGCCACCGCTTCGCGAAGCATCTGGATAACGTCACAAATCACCTAATCGGGCTTACAGCCTCCAGTGTTGAAACTTCTCCACCAGGCTGCCTCCGCTTCAGTCTTCAATATATGGCTCAAGGGCCACATATAAGATGGTTTCGGCGCACAGGTGCGCAGACGGGCGAAAGGTCGGGCGTGGTATTGTGGTGTTGTATCTTCAATATGCAGCACCGTTGGGTCCCGTCTCTCACATCGGGTCACAGATCAATGGCTTCCCACCTGCTCCGTCCTTGAATGTTAAAAGGCAAGCCTGGATTCCCGGAAATGATTTTGATAGAAAGATGTATTGATTCAGACTGCATAGTGGATGTAACGTTCTCAGGACTTCATTGTCATCCTCATAGGGCCATATTCTGCGTCCACCCGTCAGGAATCCTAATACCCGGCTAATCTACATCGGCTGCTGTGTTTCTACGGCAATTCAGCCGACTGTCATGAACCTCGCTACTTGGTTGGTACTGATGCGACTTCAGGGCATCAAAATCACGGACCTGAGCCACACCTCACTCAAATTGGGGACCCTACAGGTTGCAAAAACTCCTTCAATCTGTACACCCATTCCTTCATGGCATAGCACAAAGTCTACCTGAAAGAAACGATCCACTTGCCTTTGCTGACTGCCGAACGACAAATTATCTGGTCCTTGTGCCACCAATCTACGCAGGCTACATAGGAGAGACGTTAACCGTGAAAATGATAGATGCCGTATACGTCGAGGCAGCGTCGAGGAAGTCGCGGAGCTCGCGAAACCCCAAGTCGACATCGCCAGCCTCATCACTCGACCGGTTCGCGGTGACCTTGTCGACAGCCTCGCCTGTGAGACCCTCGGGGCTGCGTTAGTTGGAAAAGGCCGTGACGTTGACGAGGCCTACCCATTCTTCGGACCACTTAATCGTCTATCGTCACGGCAGAGACGGCGGGTGCTTACTAATGGGATGTAGCCGTTTGGCACCTCCCGTCCCACCATTATTAGGGATGAGCAGGGAGGAGAAACGGTTAGTCACTGTAAAGGGAAAACAGACATGCTCCCCCAAACTGTGCATATATTTGTGCATATGTCCCCGCTCATCATGATGCCTGGCTCAGGCTCTGCTTAGGTGCAGCTCCAATTAAAAGCAGCAAGGGTCTAACCCACATCAGCCTTAGTACATGGTAATACCTTTCCCGCGGGTTCCTCTTGGCTTCCAGACAAGTCTTTTGTCCATCCCCTCAAAAAAAAAAAACCCCCCAGCTCCCCGCCTACTCATGTTACCCAAGCGTCCGCCAAGTCTCGGCGACGGCATGTCCATCAAGATATCGTCATAGCCACTCGAGATCCCCATGATCATCGACTTCTTCGGGTTTCGAGGCGGGACGGGACCCAAAGCTGCACAACTGCTGCCACATCTAATAGCCAGTCACTCTGGTTAGGTACTAGCGCCCGTTCCATGCTCTTGCTTTGGCTTTACAATTTGCCTCTGAACAACCAGTTGCCCGGTCTGCAACATCTGTGCTGGATTCGTCCTCGAGTTCCATATCAGCATCTGCAAAACGACACGTCGTCCAACGCGTCTGCTGGCTTCCAAGAGCCTATTCTCAAGTACGTGCACAAACACATGAAGACAATCTAACACACCTACCACCCCCCGGATGCCTCGGCTCCAGCAAGATCCCTCTGTCTCTCCGGTCCTCCGCCTTCCCGTTAAATCCTTCTTTGGCGTCCCAACAGAAACACCTTTGCCCCGCACATTCCACCCCTTCGATGTGTTCCCAGGAGGCAGGGGGGGGGGAGGGGGGGGACGAAGACAAGGACCCACCTCTCGATCACTATTGCCGATTCGCCTCATTGGTGGGGAATGCTTCTAGATATTATCTATCACGTGATCGCACTTCCGCGTTTTCCTCGTTTGACTTTTCCCGCCCTTCTAGAATGTTTCTTCGCCACCCCCGTCTTGGCACGGACTATGTCGTTCCCGGCGCCTCTCCTTCCACATCCGAGCCCAAGCCTCCGGAACGCCCGATGCGCTACCAGGCTAGACTTCGGATGAGCCCGACGTCGACGTCTTCCGTAGGAAGAGAAAAGCTGCTACCGACCACCTCCGCCACCCGCGCGGTCTGGAAAACATTGTATGCACTCCTTCATGAATCCGCTCTTGAAAGTCCGATATTTGCCATGTTGGCGATGAGTCATCAAGTGCAATGATATTTGTACACCAAACCTTGATGCTAAACTAGAAAGGCTACAAGCTACCAAACTATTCAAAGGGACATATACACTACCTACCTACGCCATCCAGAATAAAATACGCCCCACCTTGTGCATCCTCATCCCAGCTTGCTGGTGCTGTTGTCTGTATACAAGTACATATCTCATACCGGTCCTTCTGTCGTGATTGCCGAGGTCGTCTCGGCCACCGGCATGTTCGTGCCGGAGCGTTTCTCATCAGTAATCTCCTCGTCTTCTGTCTGCTTTACTTGAGGTTTTGAGGACGGCACGGCCTCTGCCGGATGAGGCACAGCTAGAGCAGATCTCTTTTTTTCATGGTCGAGTTCTCCTTCTTCCAAGATTGTTGAGACCTCTTTGGGCTGGATTTCAGCCGCTGCCGCATCCTCAGGCGTCCCAGGAAGGCCTCCGTTGCTGTCGTCATTCTCTCCTCTGGGTACTGTAAGCCCCGTCGCCTTAGCCGTCTCATCATCGCCCCCGGCCTCCCTCATGGGCATATCCTGCTCCATTGTGGAACCTGCGTTGAGCGGCGCGTGCCCGTTAGATCCACTGGGTGGAGCAAGGGCTCTCTCCGTCCCGCCAGCGCCATGGTCGCCGGCCGGGGGGCTTTTGTCCTTGAAATCGTTCCGTCCTGTCGAGAGAGCGTCCTCTGCAGTCAAAGGCGCGGTCTGGTTGGTGAGTGGCGGCGTTTCATCAAACCTGATCTGTGCCTCGTTCTCTGCTCCTTCGAGGCCCGTTTCCTCGAGCACGGAGTGGCATTGCGTCATGTCGATTCCTGCGCTGCTGCTTTCAGGGTTCGGGCTTGGTTGCTCTACTTGAGTGGGAAGCTTGAGTGGAGTGCTATGCATCGCCTGTGGGCCCGAACCTGGAGTGTCCGCTACAGTGGTTAGGCTTGTTTCCGCAACACTTGAGGAGTCCTCGGACTTGAGTACCCGGTGACTGTTGGTCCCGGCCTCTGCCTCGCTGTCTGTCTCTGTGGGCTTTTCTGTTACTGCACATATTCCACCTTGAGCAGTTTCCTCGAGTTGATTGGAAACCTCCACCAACTGGTTCTCGTCGTTGGCGTGTAGCATCCGAACCGTAGACAGCAGGACAGTGTCGTCGTTCAAAACATTCTGATCCTCCTTCACGGGTGTGTTTGGAGTGGGTGTCACTGCAGCATCAAGGTCATCCTTGACATCCGGGATCAAGCTGGTGGAATCCTGTCGCAGTCCCTGTGAGGCCGGGGCCATCGGGTATGGCTCCTCACTTCTCTCAAACACGTCATCAAGCGTAACTCGACCTCGAGACTCCATGTGACTTTCTCCTGTAAGAGAATCTTTACTTGTTCTCGGGGTGATGCTTCGACCTCTAATCATCTCATCTGCCCCCACGTCGCTGTATGAGGGCGCGATGTTCCGAGCGCCAGCCCAGCCCGAGACTTGGGAGCCTTTGTAAAAGGCGTCAAATTGACCGTGGTGACTCGGGAGAGGACTCGGGGGTGAGCGTCCTCTTGTGTAGTAGTACGGATCCTGCGAGTACCCTGCTGCTTGGCCCCGATTCACGTATGACCAGTCGCTTGGCTGCGCAACAGTCTTGACGCGTGGTTGGCCGTTCTCGTCGGCTACGAAATACTCTTTCATGGAGTACCCATCGTCCACCGAGATTGAGGGAAGATTCGTTCCGGTGTCAGGGCTGACAACGGATTCAGGGAATAGAGTGAGAAGAGACGCAGCCTGCAGTCGGTGTCGAGGATCATCACTCAAGCAGAATCCAACAAGTTGGCGGTACCAGCCGGGGACGTCAACGTCGTGTTCTAGGATGAGGGGGCGCCCATGAGCCTCAGGCTCGTCTTCTTGCGTAGCTAGGGCCCATAGAACCATGCCGAGCTGGTACAGATCCGATTTGACACCGATGTACATCGAGATCCGCTGGCCACTCTCGATAAGTGGCGTTGCTTCTGGAGGTTCCCAACCCACGGGACACCCTCGTCTGTTGATGTCTATGATCTTGGCATCGCCTTGATCGTCAATGACAATGTTCGAGAGGGTAAAGTCACCCTGTACGAAACCTGATTCGTGAATGTCAGAGAGACCCTCAACAATCTGTCTTGCCCATCGCTCTCGCATCAGCCAAGGCGTTCCAAGTTCGGAGTCCTGCCGATTGTCGTACAGAAGGTCGATGAGTGCCCCTTGCCCAGCAAAGCTGATGAGGAGACCTTTGACGTGTTCGTCATGATCGTCCACGACTACGCCAAAGAAAGATATGACGTTCCTCGAGTAGCGAAGTCGATTAAGCGCATTGATCTCATACAGGAACTCGTCGATGGTGTCGGGGTCCCGGGATTTCCTTCTTGATAAGGACCTCTTGGCCAACACTGACTTTGTAAACGAAGCCGGACATGTGCGAGTCGAAATTGATGTCTCGCTCCCTAATCCTCTGGCATCCGAGGTGTTGCACCTGTCGAACAGTGGGGTAGTTGATGATCTCCTGCGAAGGGTCAGCATGGTCAATGGTATGTTGAAAGGGGAGCAAGGAGGCAGACGTTTGTGTCTTCGACAACATGGACGTGCAGACGACCGTCTGTAGTTTGCAGCTTCAGGTTCGTGACGGTTTCGTAGAATTGTATGTCCTGCAGACTTTCTCGGATAGCCTCATAAATCTTAGCACTCTTCTCACGTTGAAGTTTGGTATGCGCAAGATCCATCTCCAGTGAGTTTTCTGGGGCATTGCGGTAATCCAGTGAGATTGTGACCCGCCTCCAGGAGATGTCCTTGTCACGGTAAGTAACAAAGAATTTTTCACGCTTGGACTTGTCTCGGAAGTGCATGCTTAGGTTAAGTATCCACGTCCTCTCAAGCTCCTCCTGGATCATGACATCGTATTGCGACGTAGTGACAGAGTGAGTATCTGAGAGGGAAACATTGTCGGGAAAATGGTCAGCATGGACGAATGTTTCAGCCGTCGCTGATTGCACCATCTGGTCGAGGCTGGTGACGGGTCTTTGTTCAAAGGATGAGGTGATCCTGTCAAGCGTCGACTCGCCCACCATCTCAAAGGGAAGCTCAGGAGCGCTGGCTCTTGGAAATGCCCTGGGCTGCGAAGGCGCGCGGATGAACGTGTGGGCCCGACGATCGACAGACACTGCTCGCCTCTCTGCCGGGGTCATCTCTGCTGGAGCAAGATTATTCCTCCGCTCAGACTGTTGTCTCTTGAAGGTCTGGGCCCGCGGCAGCCCGGGAACGACCTTTCTTGAAGGGCGATGTGGAAGGCCAGGCCTGGAGAGTACCTCTGGATCCGGCGGAGGGTCCGAGTCTCGCGGCAGCTCAGTCGGGGGCACAGAACTTCCATTTTGATGCCGACTGAACATCCTCCGAAAGAAGTTTGTCGAGGTATGCGACGGTGAGGAGGGATGCTCCGTTGGTAGGGCGGCGGTTTGCGCCATGGCGAGCATGAAGAAGGCTGCCGACGTTGGTTTTGTGAGCTGGTCTATCGAGGCCAACGGCAAAGCGGGGAGAAGACGTCAGAAGTTGAGGGGAGGGGGTAGGGTAGGTTGAGGCTCCTCCACGACAGGCCGAACAAGTCTCCAAGCGGTGTGTAGAAGCTGGGGAATCGTGATGTTTATTATGGGGCCGGCCGTGGCGCAGGTCCGGGAGTAACCAGGCCGGGGGACAAGGATGAGCCTGGGAACAGAAAGACGGTCAAGGGCAGGACTCGACAAAACCCAGGAGCCAATGTTGAGTTGCGGAACGTCAGTCTATCAATGGTAGACGGCGGATCTGCTGTTGAGAGGTGACCAGGCGGAGGGACGGTGGGCGACTGTTTCGTCCTTTTCTCGGTCCAACGGGATGATGGCGGTACAATGTAGCGCTGTGCTTTTGGCGCGGTGTGTGCCAGGCAATGGGGCAGGAGGACGTCTGCAAACCGAAGCCAGGCAGTGAAGTTGGAGAGGCTGGAGACGCTCGGAGTACAGGAGACGAGTCTAGGGAGTACAGGCGCTACGAAGACGATGCGAGTAACCGTGACCAGAGAGTGCAGGCGAGGGCATCAGGCGGCTCGTGCGACAGGAAGAAAAGACTCAAGGCGTGGTGGAGGACAGGCCGATCATGTTCAGACGATGAAACAACAGGATGCGTGCATCTAAAGACGATGGCTGGGACGACCAGACCTTATGAGGAGCGCTGCAGGTCGAGTCGAGGGTGGAAGGGCATTTGCTGGAACAGTGAGATGCGGTGCGATGTGATGCGATGCGATGCGTGCAATAGGATGGGGCCGGGCTGTGTGCGTGACGCTGTCGTTGGCCCGTGGCTTTCGGGCGACGTCGTGAGCGAGTTCGGGTCAAGGAGGCTGGCCTTGTCGTGCGTGGCCTGGGCAGCCCTGGATGGGCTCACTTGGGTGTCCGTGTGTCGCAGTCGCAGGCACAGCGGCCTGGTCGGTAAGGGTCTCTCGTCAGGCAGACAGTAGTCTGTCTAGGTGCCGGGGCGCATCAGGGGGCGTGTAAGGATGGGGGTTCGAGAGGGGTGTGTGCTTGTATGGATGCTTTAGCCCTGGAGTTCTGGGCGCAGGATACGACGCGGTTGGGCCTCGACGAGAGACGAGGCGGTCATGCTCCTTTGTACCATTCCATTCGTTGTGGTTGACGGACGACGAGCGGCAGGTGGAGGGCGGAAGCAAGACAAGAAGAGGTGCCCCCTTGGGAGCTGTCGGAGCCTAGGTGGGTTCGTGCCTGATGACCGATTTGATGGATTGAGTGGCTTGCTGCTTGCCTCCGGTTTGACGGTTTGACGGCCCTGTCGATGGTCGATGGTTGATGGCTGAGTCTTGCGGCATGCAGATACACTGCGCGTGGGCGCGCGAGGGCTGGCTGGTCGGCCCCAAAAGCGTGTGAGAGAATATACCGGGTGGATATGAATAGAGGAGCAGACAGGGGGGGCTGGCGACGTGATGGACCAAGATGAGCGCTGGTGAAGGGAAAGCTAGGGACACATCCCCCAGTGCTAACGACGAACATGAAGTCACAGTTCGGTGTCACAGGTTCTGGTCGTTGCACCAAAAACCAGGCCAGCTCCACCGCATGGGTACCTAGGATGCCTGCACCCTCTACACTGCTCTTACTGCACTGAAGCATTCTCTCCCAGGCAGGTGGGTGGGCCCTGCCTCGAATGCGTTGTCTATCGCCCCTGCTCCCTGCTCGAGTTCCTGGCACAGTAGAAAGCAGCAGTAGCTTCTCCTCTCCCCGTGCACTTTCGGTCGGTTTGCTGCACCGTACCTAAGGTAGGTACCTCAGGAAGGAAGGTAAGGTAGGTAACCCACCAGATAGTGAGGAAGGTACCGCTCAACTCCCTAGGTCCTGCCCCTACTTACATGTACCTGCCTACGGCACCCATCCAATCTCACTGGTCGAAGCAGCTTGCCGTTCCTGCTACCTGCCCTGGCTGGCACTTGCTCTCCGTTGACAATCGTCGTGCTGGCCAGTTTCCTCCCGCCCTGCCTCGGTACCTACGTTAGCACCTTCATCCGTTCAACTCTCACCACCCACCCTCCCACTAACTATGATGGCATTGGGCGGTCATTGGGCTTCAACGTATCGATGAACGTCTGCTCGTCCGCCTTCTTTTCTGTCTCGTGTGCATCTGCCTCGCATCTCAAAGTTTCCTGTCAACGGAAACCAATGGCATATCCATGTCAGCCATGCAAACGCCTCGAACTCCGTCACTTCGGTCACAATGTGAGCCCTTCTCCATTCATTCCCCGCGCCTCCCCCCTACGCCTGGGGTCCTGAGTGTCATTTCCACCGTCACGCCAAACGAAGGAATACCGATGCCGCGGACCATGTCTTTCGTTGCGTTGGACACTCATCCTCGCCATGGTCTCTTGTCTCTGTGCGATGCCTCGTGGCCAGCCTGCCCAGCCACACTGAACTAACTCCCCCACGCGCGAAAGCATGTTAGCTTTGAACCACGTTCTTCGACACAGAAAAAGAGACGACAACTCCAGAACTATCATCTCTCATCTCGAGGCACCCCACTGCGCCAACACAACGATGGCCTGCATGATGGCCAATCCATCAGTCCCCGCCCCCCTCCTGCCGCCCGCGCTAGCCTCGAGTGCCCGCTGTGCGTGTGCGTGTTTACAGGACAGACGCCAGCAACCCTTGGGCATTGGCAATACAAGCGTGTGGGGGGAACTGCTCTTTCATGTCCTGAGAAAACAAAAGGGACCACGGGCCCCTTT